TTTAATCGTTTAGCTTGTGAGCATCATTCCATTTCTTTACAACTGAAGTTAAAAAACCCTTCTCATTAGCACCATTGAAATTTATTTATATCAAATGGCAGGCGTCTTGATGGTTATCATTAGTCCTTTAGTTGACTTCAGGCTTCACAGAGGGGAAGGAACATCAAATTGAAAAAAGTCGAGAGGGGGGAACAGAAGAGTGTTTCAAAGATGTAAGAGACAAACACAAAGGTGGAACAAAGGTGAGGTGAATACTGTGGAAATAGTCGAATATGGGATAGAGTGAGGTGATGGTAGTTTGAAGTGAGAAGTCAACTGCCAGTTAATAGACTTTTTTGTCGTATGAATATACGTTACCCAGGGTAAACCACGTGGAGGTAAGTCTATCTCACTCCCCAGCACCATTGAAATAGAAAGCAATGGTTTCGATTTTTTGACCCATCTCAATAATATTCGAATCATTTGTACTCGTAGAATCTGTAAATTCTGGTGTGTTGAATTTCGATCGCGATGTATTTCGTTAATTGGAAACGAGGTTGTGGCATAATTTTAATCCCAAAAGTCCTCAACTGTAATGTTCACTTGCCTCAGTTCACATCTTCCAAATCCAGTGACCTCCGAGAAAGTACCATTAATTTTGCGCTAAGGAGGAAATGCAAGAATATATGATTGAAAAATCTTAATATTCTGAAATTATATATATATATATATATATATAATTTAATCCCATTTATTTTAAATCTTAATTAATAAAAGATTCTTTTGATTCCATCATCTTTATGTTATTTTTGTCACAATCATTTGTTATTATGTTATCATTTATTTATTAGTTTGTTCGCATTAATTTTAAGAGGCTCAAATTATAAAAGATCTGACCCAAACTTCAACAAGAACATCCTCAATAAACAGCATCAGTCAAACTGATTCAAATGAGCAGTCTACACCCAACTGTCGTTATGCAAATGCCTCCAGAAGTCCATCTTCAGCTTGGTGGCCATCTCGTCTGGGATCACCCATCTGTGCCACTCCTGAGGTCAATGAAGATGACCAGACACGGCCTCCTCAAATTGCTCATGAGCAATCACCACCCATCATCTACCTCACTGGAAACACAAAGAACAACAATAACAACTTACGTTACAGTCGTGAAGCACCGTCTTTCCAAATGCCTTTTGAAAATGATCCCATGAATATAGTGAGTTCAAACCTATCACCACTGTATCCATCTACCCCTACGATTCCCTTGATCAATCGTTAAGAAGTGAAATAGAGTTAAATTGTTTGAATTGATCGGACTACTAAAATATTCGAAATTAATGTGTGCTAATGTGATTTTAAGGTTGCTTAAGCAAAATAGTAAGATTACAAGGTTAAAACAGTTTTCCACTTATTGATTCTATCCAACATCACCTTTAAATAGTCAGATGTACAGAATGTTTCATTTCATTTTCTCATAGCTTTTACTCATAGAAATGCCTGGTTCATGACCAAGTGGGAAATATTGTCTATAGCGCAGTGGTCTTATGAATAATCCTACATTGATGGCATTTAGGGCTCGTTGGTTGGTCGATTTAATTCCCCAGTTGGTTATCTCATATGGATAGAATTGATATCTTCTTAATGTCAATAGCAGGTGATTGAGGAGAGCAATGATCTTTGACATAACATTTGACAATAAATCATAAGTTCATGGCTATAAATAGACAAACAACTAATCTGGATCTATCATGTGATTTGAGGTGTAATGAGCTGCAGTACTTCTCAAAAACCCTGGGATCTATGAACCAATAACATATGCCTTTGGACATTGAATCAACAGTATTCAGATTTGAGTAGACTAAACTAACTCTATTTTTACAAAGAGAAGAAAGATGAAGATGCTTGATTATTTGTGCCATCGCTCAAAGGAAAGTGTAAAGTAATTTGTGCGTTTTTCACTGTCATAAAGTTCCCGCTACCTATTGAGCAAAATATTTTTTCCCCAAGTAAAATCCTCTATTACTAAATTCGGAAATTAAATTTTCATTACGATTCAATGAATCGGACTAAAGAAGAAGGTCTGTTGCTCACGGAGCGTTTCTGCTATTAGGAAAACAAATTTGTTTATATTTAACTTGAGATACGGTTAATGATTGGCTACCTGATCAGTCAATAATTGCATCAGTGCTATGCAAATATGTCCAGGTGTGCGGTAACTGCGTACGCAATGAACAAAGGTGTAGTTACAAATACAATTGGAAAAGTTATTTTCGATTCACGTTTCCATCATAGTTAACACAAATAAATAGTTCGAGTTAATGAAAACTAACTCAAAGTGTTTAGGCAAAAGTACGAAATTCGGATCATGGCCCATGACGATCATTATTAAAAGCCATTCATAGCCTAGAAGTATTTCAATCAAATATATCTTAAGTGTTAATATATGATAGAGACATTAACTAATGGAACGTGTCATGTTTCACCATCATTACGATCACATTTTTACTTTAATGATTGTTTTTGTCAATGTCTTCTAACCTCCAAAAAGTCCTTTGAGACATTCCACTTTGATGTGCTTTTTGCTTCTACAATTTTTAAAATGAATGAATTACTTATATTTGGGAGTAGAAGGGTAGTTGTCTTTTAATTTTTAACCAGTACACTAATTGGGACAGTGAAAGGGAGAATTAAAAATTAATGATAAAAAGCAATATGTTGACTAATTCGAAGAAAATAAGGTCCTTGATTGTATGGTTGCAGCTAACTTTTCCAATGCAATATTGAATTTTCTTACTAAAAGAAATTTCTAAAATTTATTTCAATTTCGCTCACTGAACTGTTTGCTACATAACATAACCCGAACCAGAAGAGCCGATGTTTAATATTCAAACAGTGAAGCGATAGTTGGCTATCAACATTGATATATAGTATTGTTAGGAGTAATCAATATTATTCAAACCACGTGGTATCTCTTTCTGATGCCAGCACTGTTTCTTCACATTCCAGATCATAAGTATTTACATTCCACTTGAATAGTTAACAACTGTAAATAACAAACTAGGTAAATTTTTCAGGAATATTTACGTCTCACAAGATTATGTCAGTTAATAGTTTTTATGAAAATCATATGAAATGATTCCAAAACTGTTATTTGAACTATAAACAAATGAAATTGAATACAAAAGGCGGATAACGCTGAAATTAAGGGGGTGGGGGGGGGGGGGGGGGGGGGGTTGGCGTAGGGGGTTATTAATCAATCACGAAAGTATCAGGTTTCCCTAATGAAATAGATTTAAATTCTTACAATGAACATCCAATCATTACAATATTTGGAAAAGGCTAGTTAATTTTATTAGTCTACACTAGGCAGCCTTCCTTTCTCAAAGGAAGTGTTTAAAATAATACTCGAAAGGAGGAAAGCTTCCACAGTCTAGTAAGAGGTGTTCACAACACTTGGTTTGGGTAGAAGGAAGGTAACCAGATGCCACGTTTATGAGGAACGTGTGTATCGACCTCATGACCTCTATGTTTTGGGTGTAGCAAAGTAGACAACCAGAAAAATCCCGAGGACAAGAACATGCCTTGACAAGGTCACAATTTACCATATCATAGGAAGTTACTATTGTATGGGTTGGCAAGCAGAAGCAAAGTGATGTGGTATTGCAAACAAAAATGACCTAAAATTTATATTCGTCCAGAAAACAGGCATCAGTATTTAACTTTTTGCGGGATATTGAGATTACGACTTTTTTAACTTGTAGTTAATAAAAGAGGTCGTAGATCGTCTCCGTCGAAGTCCTCACCTACCATTGATCGTAATGCCAACTCAAGTGCCTGGTACCCCACCTCTGGTCTTTCAACTCCCTTCAGCTGACGTAGTCTTTGTTGGACTGCCCGCATGCAATTCACTTCACGGTCATGTGAGACCTCGACTGGTGACCTCACCAGTGGAGACAAGTGCATTTGTGGTCACTTCGAAGAGAGATGTAACCACCCCGATAAGTCACCTGCCCTCCGGAGACCGAGTAAGTGGATCTCGATTCACTGTTGCTGCTCCTAACCCTGGTTCAATTCTTGGGGTCTCTGCGACTGGTGATCTCTATGAATTTAAACTAGCTAATACATAAATTTAGCCTTCCCTAACCCTCCCCCCTCATCCCACCTGAGCTCAATTTTGTAATAAAAAGAATTAATTTTATGAATGAGATGTAAACCTGAATTATTTAACCGTATGATTGCCATTAGATCGTCCAAATGTTCTCCTGTAATTTTGTTGCAATAAAACTTCGTTTGTTCACTCTGCCACTTGCTTTACTTATTTACTGTATTCAAGATTTACTAACATTTGTTTAGAATTATATTGATTATTGGTATTTCGAACACATAAAATCGTTTGTTTACAAAACTAAATTCAAGTCAATATGCGTTTCTAATCACATGACTCTTTTCCAAGCCTAATTAATGTTTATTGCGATTACAAGCACCAAAACGAAGAAAGCCTAAAATTTGGTATTGGGAAATAGTTAAATACTGACTAAATGGAGAAGAAATTCAAGAAGTTGAGCACAATGTCAGGTCATCAACGGTTTTAGAATACATGATTTATGGGGGAGTGGAATTTCTAACCTTTGACTTTTCAAGAATGCGTCTAGTTATTACCACACTTCAGTTTTCATGCACCAATTGGTTCGGAGTGAAGGGGATAATGATGGGTCATCAAAAATTTAGCTTTCTAGTTTTTAATATCAAGACCGACCAAGTTTGTCTGCTCTATAATAGAGTTCCAGATGGTTTCTAAAAACCACAGTCTCATCGCTAAGCATGTTTTCGAAGTTTATCCGATATTCAAACTGGCATGATATATTTTTTGAAAAAAAACGAAGCGATGCACTTGTGTCTAATGGAAGTGCGCTCCACGACGTCGCCACGTCACATCCAAGTCATAACTATGTTAGGTCATGGCATGGCAAGGGCAATCATTAGTAATCTTTTGGTTCATTATCTAGAGGTGCGCAATAGACTTACCTCCACGAGGCGCACCCTGATCAACGTATACTTATACGACAAAAAGTCTATTGATCGGCAGTTGACTTCTGACTTCAACCTACTATGGCCCGACTATTTTTCATATTCGACTCCTTCCAAAGTACTCATCTTACCTTTTATGACTTTGTGTCTGTCTCTTTTGCATCTTTGAAACTTTCTTCTGTCCCCCCCCCCCTCTCGACTTTTTGTCACTTTGATGTTCCTTCTCCTCTCTGTGAAGCCCCGAAGTCAGCTCCAGGGCTTATGATAACTATCAAAACGCCTACCATTTGATATAAATAAATAAGGTTCATTATCTAACTAATCGTATTCTGGCACATCAATAATTGTGTTTAAAGAATATTCTTTCCACCCTTTCACAATCTGGGCAAACCAAGTTCCTGGTTTATAAATAGTCCCTCGATTCCATCACTTAGTATCTTGGCACCTGGCTGGTCTTGTCTGATGTAGTCTGTCTCCCTCTCCCCAGGGTCTGGGGGCAGTTTGTACTTCATCCGTAAACACAGGCCTTGACTACACATTAGAGCATGCCAGTGTCACATTATAACAATTTCCATATTTGACTTTCAAGGTAGTCACTTTTCAACCGACCAACACATCAAAGAAATAATTAACACGAATCTATGAAGAGTAAACCGAGTTGAAATCTGAGACTTGGAATGGTTCGGATCTCTGCTCGCTCATTTCCCCTTTTTAAGCAGGCTACTTGCTGTAGAATATTTTTTTCTATCAATGACAGAACAAAGAAGTTCCAGTCGTGGCCAATTCGTGCTATTTCAATTAAATGGAAAAAAAGTGATTTTACCATCACAAAGAATGAAACATTTAAAAAACGACTTATTGAGCTCTGTCAGTCACCCTCAAGGGAGTATTTCATTGAAAAGTAAAATGTAAGAATCTATGGATAGTTACTGGTGAATAGACTACGGAGTTCTGATGTTGAATTTAAATTATATTTATTTATTTGAAATGGCAGACGTTTAGATAGCTATCATCAGCTATTTAGCTGACTTCAAGCTTCACAGAGGTGAAGCAACATCAAAGTGAAAAAATCGAGAGGGGAGGGAGGAACAGAAGAGCGATTCACAGATGTAAAAGAGGCAGGCAGACACAAAGGTAGAGAAAAAGGTAAGATGAGTTCTGTGGAAGGGGTCAAATATGGCATACAGTGGGGTGATGGTAGTTTGAAGTCAGAAGTCAACTGCCGGTTAATAGATTTTTTTTGCCGTATGAGTATACGTTGCCCAGGGTGTACCACGTGGAGGCAAGTCCATCGAACAACCACTGGCTAGTAATATTAGTATTCAAATAGTATCCGGAAGAGTGTGATCTGATAAACTCGAAGTGTATTATTATACAATTAATTGCTAGTTTCAGACATTAATGTCAAACAGCGATCATTGACCTATGCGACAAAAAGGGAGGTTCAATTATCTCTCCCTTGCAGTCGAATAGGACAAACAAGACTATGATCAAGGAATGTCAATTTAGGATCATATTAGTTCCTGGTGATTAGAAAGTGCGCACTCGGTCCAATTTCGAGCAACCACTGTTGGGGATCCGGTATAAAACGAATCAGCAAAAGCGAATTGGCCTTCATATTCCTATCTAATAATTCTGTTCTCATCAATGCTTTGCTTAGTTTCATGAATATCGTATTGCAATTTCTGTGCTCATGATCGATTCCTTAATGATCAAATTTTGCTTATATTTATTCTAATTACTAAAATCTACTCTTCTCTGTGGGATATCACTACTCATCATTAAATTCATTAAGACGTTGCATTCATTACAATTATTCACTCACAGCATCAAAAACAAAATGATCAAGACACGTGTTTTATATCTATAGGTAAATTTATACAATGTGCGATTTAGAATCGTAACTTAAACAAATTTGTTCGAATAAATGGGAAGTAAAGAAGGCGAGCAGTAAACGGTGGAAAGTAAAGAATTAGTTTTGGAAAAGCTGTTTCATTTTGGGCAACATTCGTCATCATCATCATCATCATAGTAATCAAAACAATCTACTATTACTCTTCTTAACCTCTACTTTTCTCACCATTTGATGTGCACTGCGCATGCGCCTTATGTGTCTGTTATTTTGAAAGTTTGTGTGAGGTATGACCTTTCTTGCGTTGAAGTGCGTGAAAAAATTCAATATTGATTTATGGTTTATAAACACCTGTTTTCCACTATCTGAACGTTTAAGAAGTAAAAACAAAATAGTTAATTACCTTAATCAGTAAAGATTTCCTATTAATTAAAAGGCTCAAAGCATTTTCTGGAAGTTAAGGCTAACAACTATTGGCTAATAGAGGGCCAACTACATAGAACCAGATTTCCTGAAGATAGATTCAATGGAAACAGCAACAATCAAGAATCGAATTATTCAAAGGAGGTAGGAGAGTGGGAAAAAGTACTGGAATACAGGAAAAAGAAAAGGGTATATCTGTACCATGGGTCTTGCAGACGCCTTACCATTAGATTTACAGGCAAAAACAAAGTTATCGCTAGAGAAAAGGTGATTGATATTCATCAATTAAGGCAACTGAAAGCACTCCTAGCAAGCTAGAAACCTTAGTACTTATTTATTTATGATCGTTCTAAATTAGTACTGCATAAAATATTTTGAAAATTTTAGGGTTTTATCAATGTAAAACCACAGTTGACGCATGAAGTATCTTTGAAAACCTTTCCATTCATTGATAAAATGCAGGTGATCGTAACCCATTAAACATTGTTAAATATATCAGAATACAAATTGATTTATTATTATTTTCAAGCCCATCCATGAACTGAAATCAAAGCCACCTTCTTACAAATTATTGATTTTGGATTCATAATACCTACTTGCGTTTCGTGTATAACAACTTTCCAACGTACCAGTTTTGGTCTTTAGCACTTTCACTAACGTTCACTCATTTCAATATCATATATTAACACTGTTTGGTGCAAACTAAAACTTTAAATTTTCTGATTTTTAAAAACTAGTAATCAACCATTTGCCATTCGGAAGAGAATTTATTTTGTAACTTTTTTCACATCTTCACTGGGGTTAGGTTTTTTTCAAAATCACCATAACAGCTGTCACCTTCCATTCAGTTCCAGCTCCAAATTAATTTCATCTCATTCTACCTGGATTTTCACAACCAAAGTCACGCTCCTATTTCAAAGTCCAATTGTTTACCTATAATTGGAATGCTAACTTAATGGGCAATTTTGAATTTTATTATGGAAATTTATTTCATTAATAAATTTAAAACTGATAAATGAGCAGTAAACAATTACCCTGTTCCTTGTAATTTATAAGTAAACTAGAATTAAACCGGCTTTAAATAGTTGTTCTGGGGCATTCATGCTAATTAATGTGCACTCCATAAAGCCAATGCAATGTTAGTATTAAGGATGTTCACTCTTCAGGTAAAATGAAATAAATTTAACGACTTAAGTTATTATAATTTAATGATATCGATATGTCGTAATTTACTGCGGTTTGTCTTTTGTTTAACCAAACAAGTTTAGTTGAGAGGATGCATTAGAAAAGTTAAAGAATCCTAACAAATATAATATTGATTGAGAACATATTAAAGTAATATGTATATTACAATATAACATATTACATTAAATGATTAATAAACTGGAAATCATAAGACGCCGGTGTCTCAGCTCGTTACAAAGATGAGGGATTTAGATCTACTTTCACCAAAGAGAAGGAATAAATTAAGATTTTTATACCAATAATGGCGGTGCATCATTAATAATCCAAGTTCAGAATTTTTAAGTTCAGTATGATATCGGCTCACTAGTAAAGGAGTAATTTGAAGGGGATGAATTTAACAAGCTTAACAAATCTTATTAATTGATGGCAATACAATTCATTGATTATTTGTATTCTAAACCTGATTTTTGTAAATCTCTACCGCGACTCAACTTCAGCATGTTTATCCCTTCATCATCTCCCATCCAGTTTTGTCCCGAGACACAGCTGGGATCCTTTCAACTGGTTCAACATTGGAAACCTGACAGCTTGATCCAACACTACAGCAGCACTTGGCTTGGGTAAAGGGGAGGCATCTTG